ATAAAAGGATATGTTTGGTTATGAATAAGATTGGGGATGGTATGCATTGAAAAAGATATGTAGAATAATATTGATTTACAGACTATTATTAATTGATTTAGCGTTTATAAATACTTGAAGAAACATTTTTATATGAATCATTATTATTTTTTGTACTCGTTTTTTTATAATCAAAACCATTTATTGAAAAAAAAATTGTACTTATTGAAGGCCCTTTTTACCAAATACGTACATCGGGTCTATAAAATGTCAAGAATGGTTCTAGATATAAGGGAGATCGAACCTTCATAACCTTCACCTCCACCGTTAATTAATCATATCGACCTTTAGTCTCTTTCACCTACTTTCACACACATAGATGTTGGCGATTTTAGTGTCATTGATCATTTTGGTGTAGGTGTGTACGCTAGATCGATGAAGTTTATAGTTAAAGTATAATATGTGCTAAGAGGTGTAGAATGCATATACTTGTATAAACTAACTTAAATCTGAGATCGCTATAAAGTAGAGTCGCAAGGGTCGCAACCCCAGCTTGCAAGTCAAGGGGAAGAAGACGAAGTTCAGATAATGCACCAAGTCTTGTCCGAAAGACAAAGTTCAGAAGATGTAAGTTCAAAAGATTAAGGCTTGATCAGTAGTCGAGTTCATAAGCTTCACGTTCAGAAGCCTTGAGTTCAGAAGGCCAAGGCTCAATCAGAAAGCTATATAATCTCGGAGAGTATGATAATAGTTAGGGTTGTCTCAAAATAACTGAAACCAAATGATCTATCTGAAAAGATGAATTTTGGGTTAAACTGTTCGGGTTATTCGGTTTTCAGTTATTTCAATTAGGCTATAATCCCTTATTTGGTTATTTTGCTTTATGCACTTGGTTATATTTATTCGGGTTCAGTTAAACTGAATAAGAACTTTTTTTTATATATTCTACTAGAAGGGTACTCGCGCAATGCAGGCGAGATATATCTCGATTTTAATGTTCAGTTTTATTTGTCTCTGTATATGTTTTAATACTGTTTTATGTGGTGTTTGAGAAAGGAATAATGATCTTATTTTTGAATAAAATATAAATTTAAAGATATTATAATTTTTGAAAATAAATATATCAATATTAGTATCAAATTAACTATTTAAAAGTTATTGTTTTTATGTAATTTCTTTAATTCAATTTTTTATTACAATTTAATTCAGATTTAATAACGAAGTGGTTTATTTTTTATTTAATAAATTTTTTATAAGGATAATATTAAGTAATTTGTTAGAACTCAATGATTATCCTAATTATATTTTAGTTTTTTTTTATATTTAAAATGAAATGTTTATCTTGTATCTGACGATATTTATCTGCAGTTAGTTACACAAATTCAAACATAAAGTTTTAATAAGTTGTATTCACGCACAATTTATTTGTAATCTTGTATTTTAAGTAATATGCATTAATAAACAGTACTTCATGCATAAAAATGGTTTTTAAGAGTTTTTATCAAATGTTTTATAATATAGTATAGATATTTATGATTATTCTAAAATTTAAACCAAAATATATTAATTATATAATTTCCTATCCAGTTATTTTTATACAAATAAAACCTTTATTAAATAGGTAACTTTATTATCGTTTATTTCTAAATTGCGGATTTTTGGTTCTTTTATACGGTTTCAATTAAAGCAGATGATAAATTATTTTATTAATTCTTCTTTGCCCCCTCTGTTCAAATAAATAAATTATTTTATGAGCACATTAATTACGATGAATGATAACATATTTATAAATCATCTTAAGCTTTAACAAAACTTATTAAAGGTTTTATTTTATTTTATCTGATATCTGAACCGAACAAACCAACCAAATAATAACCCAAAAACCGATTAACCCAAAAACCGATTAAACCAAAACTTATTCGGTGTAGTTAGCGATTAGTTTTAAAATTTCTACAAACCGAATAAACCATAATATAACCGAATAAAATCGACCTATTAATTAATAACGCCATGATGATAATCATTTAAAATCAAATGTTAAGTAGAATAATCTATATATATATTAAAGAAGAAACCAATTAAGCATAATAAGGTGGCACCTTCTAATGCTTAGAACTTCTCCCATCTTTTTTCTCAATTTTTTGATTTTTTTATATGTTGAATATATTAAAGACTTTTCTACCCTTGTATGAAGAATGTATAGTTTATAATTAATTGGGGTTTTTTGTAATTTTGTATATCCAAGTTTAACCTCCAACTCTTGATTTGCTCTTTCATTTACTTTCTTTTATTTCTTAATGAAATTTGTTCTTCAAAGTTTCAATAATAAACAAAATAAAATCCTACAAATTCTTTTAGTAAAAGATAAAGAAGGTGAGAGTTGAAGAAAAATTCAAAAATTTTAAAAGGTATGTAGAAATTATATTCATTAAAAAGTGTGATTTGTTATTATGTATTTCTTTTTCAATATTGTTTTATTTGTGTTATCATAGGATATGCTTGTGTTTACGATTAGATCATATAAATTCGAATAAAATTTTGATATTTTGTAATCACAAKATATGATAAATCTTTTTCGAATTTAAGCTCCACTAACAATAACTATTTATACTCAAGATTTTTTCAATTTACAGAAATCGTTTGGTGAGTAATGAAGAAATAAGAGTTGAAGAAAATTTAAAAGATTTTAAAAAGATATGTAAAAATTATATTATTTAGAAAATGTGAAGCTTATCTTTCTTTTTTCTTAGATTTTTGATTTTTTAAAATATTTGATATATAAAAGACGATGGAATTTTTAGAAAATGAATTGTTTTGGTAATCTTAAAAAGTTTAACCCCCAACATTTTCATCTTCATTCTTGATATTTGTTATACTATTTTCATCTTTTCATCTATTAATTAAAATAAACATACAATAAATGGTGTGAGACATTGTCACTAGATTATTTTTAAAAGAGATTTTCTCATTGTTTTGAATTTATGAAATGTTAAATAAGTTAAATAATTTCTTATCCATGAATGAAAAATGTGTATTTCATTATTTACTCCAAAATAAAAACAAAATTTTCCAAACCAAAGATGTCCTTAATTGAGCATTTGGCATCATTATTTTACATAAATCTAAAAGTAAAATATGAAGTTTCTCATGTGACACTTTGTGGAAAAATTATTTCATAATTCTTTTTTTTTTCAAAAATTTAGATTTTTGTAGACTTATTTTGTTGGTTATATTAATTGTCTTTTATTAACTTATAAATGTTCTAGACATTTCGTTTTTCTATTCCGTTTTTTAATCTCATCTATATATATTATATCTCATTTAACTTTTTTTCTTTTGTTTTACTAATTCTTCCATCATATTGCAAACTACACAATTGAATGTCTAAATCAAGATGGAAGCTACATTATTTATGGTTTATTTTATTTTTTTATGTAAGCTATTTGTTGTTATTGATGTGTTGTATTTTTTTTGCAGAATTTTTTTATCGTCGATATTGTTGTTCTTTCTCCATAAAATTCATGTATTTTTTGTTTACATTTTATATAATGATTTGTGTGGGTAATTTGTTGTTGATAAGTGCTTTTTATTTCATGTTATTATATTTTGTTAATTATTATTACATTTGTTTTTCTATGCATTATATATTGTATTTTTTGTTATGTAGAATGTTTTTATTGTCTATACCGAATGTTATTCCTCTTTAAACTTTTTCTGGTAAAAAATATTACATGTTAATTTATGATTTGTGTGTGTTATATCTTGTTGACGAATGTTTTGTTCAAAAATTTATTTTCTATTATATTTTGAATATGATTCATCATCATCATCCTTATTTTTGGAATTTATTTATATTGTGTATGTGTTCTTTTTATGTGTCTTTTTATTTTGTGTAATTTTGTTTTATTAATATTTTGTATTTATTCAAGTTTTTTTTTTCTGACAACAATTGACTTATGATTAAGTGTGATCTATGTGGAGTTAAATTTTCTTCTCCATCTTTTATATTTAGAGTTTCTCAATTTGTATTTTTTATGTCATTCTCTGTATTGTGGTTATTATTAAACCAATATATATCATGTGACTGTTTGTTATTTAAAATGACACTTAAATGATGTTTATGTATTTATTTATTTGAAAAGAAATAAAATGTGATATCCATGTGGTTTTTGTATGTGTATTTGTTTGTTCTTATTAAATTATTTATATTATATGATATGTGCTCTTTGTTTTATTATGCTTAAAATTACTTAAATTTACTTAAAGTTATATTTATTTATATAATATCATTTAAAATACGTAATGAAAAAATGATGTTTTTTATTGGCGATAAATTGATTTTACTATGCAGTATTCGGTAAATCAAAAAAATTGTTCGATTTAATATTTCGAATAGATTTATTTAATGATGGTTTAAAGTTTAAGTTATGTAGTAGAATGATTGATTGTAATAACAATTGTCAGGATGACAATATGTCAAAAAAATATGAAGGTCAATAAATTAATCATTATATTTATAATCTATAACTTTAATAAAAAAAATGATATATACATGAGCTGACATTGTAATATTTAATATTAGTTTAATTTTTTTTTCTAAAAAAATTATCGTCACCGCGTAACGCGCGCAAAACTGGTTAATACTAAAGCTTCTTCTCCTGTCGCATATAAGTTGACAAACAATAAGATATATATATTCTGGTCACTTGCCTAAAATAGAAGGTGGAGATAGAGGAACAAATATAGATCAACAGAAATTTTTTCCAACTTCTGACTCTTAATGCATCTCAACATCATTTTCCCAGAAAAAATATAAAATTTGAACGTAAATAAACAAGTTAAATGTTTAAATCTTTTGAATATTAATCTTGGAAAATTTCCAACTTTCTTGAAACGTTTGTTGTAATTCAGTTTTATTTACATTGTTCTTCAGACAGATTCATTTCCATTTTCCAGGAAACCCTAATTTAACATGTAGAAGATTTCATGAATTTGATCATTTTATAAGGCAGTTTCAAGAGATGGGCTCCTGTTGTTCATGCTATTGGGGTGTGAGATATGAAGGGTACTTTGTGGATGAGGAGGTGAATCCGGTGGAGGTAGGCGGCGGCAGCACGGTGGACAACGTCCACAATGTTATCACCATCGGAGATTGTGGGGCTCGTGTGAGGTTACGAGGATCTACAAAGCTTTCATCCATGTATTCTCAACAAGGAAGAAAGGGGATCAATCAAGATGCAATGACTGTTTGGGAAGTAAGAGTTTTAAAAACCATTCAACGTCCATTTTGTGTTTCTTTTGATCTTCCATCAAGTTTCTTTATTTTTATGGTATTTTTTTCAAATGCTCTTTTTTTGGGTGAAATTCAACTTCAAAAATCTGTTATCATTTAGCCATTGATTTTCTTTGCATTGTTATTTCTTGTACAATTTAATGTTTTCAGAACTTTGGTGGAGAAAGAGATGTTGTCTACTGTGGCATCTTCGATGGGCATGGTCCTTCGGGTCACAAGGTAGCACATTTTGTACGCGATACCTTGCCATCAAAACTCTCATGGGTGTTTAGAGATTCACAAATCAAGAAAAAGAATTTGAAGGGTTCCCGCCAAGGCCATGGCTATGACCACGATCAAGTTTTGACTACATGGAAAGCTAGGATTATTGAATCCTTCAAGGAGACGGATGAACGTCTTGATGAAAATGCGAGCATAGATAGCTACTCCAGTGGTTCAACGACTGTGTCATTACTTAAACAGGTATCATTTTTTATCACAGCAACACTATGGTTATAGAAAGTCTTCGATATTGAAATGTTAAAAGAGTTGTATGATTTGCATGTGACTTCGGTGTTGAGTTGTAGATGAATCTTACGTCCCGATAATTACACAACTTAAGACCAAACCATCGAACCAATGTGGAACAAAATGAATTTATGGAAGTAGTCGATAGTTGCTTTTTCTTCTTTTTAGTTTCTGGCTATAAAAGCAATGTTGGTTCTATGGAGTCTAAGATAGCTGATTTCATAGCTATTATGAATCTTCTAAAGAGTTATGAAATATAATATAAGGATATGTACGGAAGTTTAAACAATGCAACATGAATATTTTAGATAAAAAAGGAGTTGGTAATTAAATGTGCATCAAGGAAGCAACACATTTGTCCACCATCTAGGAATCTTGAAGTCTAAGGGAATGAGCTTGACACTTATAGACCTGATACCATAGATGATACTGTCAATCTCAAAATATCAGAAGAAGACAAGATATTCAAGCTTCTTGCATGTTTGGAATCTGAACACGAAGATCTCAAAGCAATCTTGTGATGACTTCTGAAATGCTTAAACTCTATGTGGTGTTTTCAGCTCCATTTAGTGAGTGGAAGCTAAAAAAGAAGTTTATGAGTACTAAAACCACCAGAAAAATGCAAGCTTTGCAGCCTCAAGACCATACAGTGGCAGGAGATCTAACTTATAATGCTCCAAATGTAAGAAGATTGGCAGAAGTGGAACTGGTCAAGAAAAGGAGAATGTGTTTGATACTCCATCTGGAACTTAAGCCTAAGTTCCTTGAATCTCAAAGAAGCAAAAGGAACTTTGCGTAAAAAAAAAACAACTTCCTTCAATACCAAGGCCAACAACATCTGCTCATCTAGAGTCCAACCCCAAACACCCCCCTTACCTCATACTGTTATAGAAGATTTTCATGAACATGTTCATGAACTCTCTTAGCAACCTGATGTTCAAGAACTTTCTCTTCATGTGTTGCCATGTAAATCTTAGTATAAACAAGACACTGTATGTTATTCTAGAGGACTCTGAAACTTTTGTTCCCAAATTAACATCTAATGGGACATGAACTAGTGAGTTCTAAACAGTCCTCTCCGACATATTGTACTTTCACGAATCAAATCCTACAAGAAATTGAACCAAATGAAGCAAAAAATTCCTCAATTACATAAAGCTATTCATGGATTTAAGCAATCACCAAGAGCTTTCAAGATTGTGTTAAGTTCTAGTCTCATTTGGATTCAAATGCAGTGATGCAGATTCATTTTTGTTCGTTAGGGACAGGGAGACAAAAAAATGGTTGTTCTTATGTATGTGGATGACTTGATCATCACTGGTCATGACATTACCGAGATTCAAGCTCTAAAAGAAACACTTCATCAAAAACTTGCAATTAAGAACTTAGGAATCCTCAGGTATTTTCTTGGAATTAAGATGGATCACATTTCAACTAGTCTATTTTGTAGTCAAAAGGAAACATCTTATGGATCTCCTATATTAAGCATGCATGAAGACTAACAAGTTAATCTCTTATCCTTTTGACAGTAAACTCAGATTAGATTAGATGTTGAATCCACTTCTCCATGATATGAGTAGGTACCAATGCCTTGTAGGTAAGCTCATTTACCTTACAATAACTCCACTTGATTCAGATTGGGGGCATTAGGCAAGAATCTGAATAGAAAACCTACAACAACAGGTTACTACTCGTTCATAGGTGGAAAAGTGAATTGCAAGCGTTGTTACAAGATCAACTGTCAAAGTAAAATATAGGTTCATGGATTCGACTGCTTGTGAGTTCGATTCGACTGGGGTTTCCACACAAAATCCCAGTGTCTCTCTATCTCAATCTCTCTCTCTTTTGTTTGTTCCATCAAAGTAGGAAAAATAAGGCGGTTGTTCGATTCCATGATCCCCTAATTGATTGATCATCAAGAACAACGAAATCAAGAAAATATATCAACACGAAAAGTACATCCGCTCATGAACTATACCACACGACTCAAATATACGTTAACTAACGATGCTCGAGACTATATGAAACATGCAACTTTGAAGAAGATAGAATCTACACAAGTTTTGTCTTTCTTTTACAAACACTAGTATTGGTCTTGAATTTATATATACATTAATTTGGTGTATCATCACCCTTACTTTTTATCTTCATTTTTTTATTAGGGTGACAACTTGATAATCGCAAACTTAGGCGATTCTCGAGCGGTTCTTGGCACAAAAAGTAAAGAAGATGTACTACAGCCGGTTCAACTCACAGTCGACTTGAAACCACAGTTATCAAGTAGACCATTTATTTCGTTGCTAATTTGTTGTATTTGTGCTCCAAACACTACAACAAAATCGGGTTTATAAGATGACACTTTGTTTTACAAAAAATATCCTAAAAAACTTGTTACGACCTCCCTATAAAAACTTACACTTCATTTTTTATTCATATAAGACATACTCTATCAAGACATTTAAACATTAGGCATCATATAAACTCGATTTTATTATAGTGAAACGATAGTGACTATATACAAATGATTTGCTACGTATTACAGGTGAATTAGAACGAATAAAAAGGTGTCGTGGGAGAGTACAGGCAATGGACCATGAACGAAACGTATACAGGGTATGGATGCCTGATGAAGATCGTCCTGGACTTGCAATGTCGAGGTCTTTCGGAGATTTCTGCTTGAAAAATTACGGGCTCATCTCTGTTCCTGAAATTTATCATCGCAAACTCACCGAAGAAGATGAATTCGTAGTCTTAGCAACAGATGGGGTAAGAATTTGTTACATAATTTCTTATATACAAACTTTCCTGCTCATGATCTTCATCTTTTTATAGCCTTAACTTACAATTTTCAACTTCAATATCAACAATTTCTATTATTTTTTATGCTCACTGATTAGTAGTAATAATTACGGGTGCCAAAAAACCGAAATCAAATACCCATTTGAACCAAATGAAAATTGGGTTAAACGATACAGGTCATTCAAGTTTCGGTTTTTTCGGTTAGATTTATAATTTCATATTCAGTTTTTTCGTTCGATTGAACCGAATAAGAAATTATATATATATATATATATATATATATATATATAAGGGTGCTTATTTAATGACCTTAAATATTTTAGGAACTAAGAATCACCTTTTATGAGTATTCATGATGAATTACATGATAAAATATTCATAATGAATGTTATGACAGATATTCACTTTGAATAAAAATTCCATCATGAATACTCACAAAATAGATTCTAAATATTTGAAGTTCTTAAATGAACTTGCCCCTATAATTTCATATTCACAAAATCTTTTACACCGTTATGCCTTGAATTTAGATTTGATCTCTAAAACTCATTAAGTATATCAATCGTCCTTATTTTATACTTTGCGTAATAGATTGGTCTCTCAAGTTAAAGTTGTTAACTCCACCTCCGTTAACTGGGTCATATGCTCACAAGAGGGGTAAAATTGTCTTCTTACGCGTTTTCTTTTTTACCTCCATCTTCTTCGATCAAGAACCATTCATTAAACTCTAACCAAATATCAATAACGTTCATACAAATCAAATCTCAAGAACCTTCAAAAACGATTAATGAGAAGCAAATCAACACAAGACCCTAAATCTAAATCTTAGTATACATCCTTAAATCAAATCTCTAAAAGTAAACAGAAAAACAAAACCATTAAACAAATTTAATGAAAACTTTGAATGTGGGTTTTTTCTAAATTAAATCCAAAATACCGAACAAATCAAGACTCTTGCTTCGAACAATTCCACCACCGATTTCAATGGCAACCCCGTAATTCGAGGAAGCCAACAAGTTCTCACCAACGATTTCAATGGCTTCAAACTGTAGCACTATAATCCGAGGAGGCCAACTTCTCACCTTTTTTTTTATGTTCGTAGAGGATTGGATGAGATAGGTGACACTTCAATGCATGCCGTCGTTGCTTTTCATTCCTTTGCTTTCATTAAGCATTGAGAGAGGGGGAGGGGGGTCGTCGTTGCTTGGTTGAAGATTAAACGAGAAAACAGGAAACGTTAGGGTTGGGGTTAATGGAGGCGGATTTAATGCCTTAACGGCTTTAACTCAAGGGACCAATCTGTTACGAAAAAAAACGAAATAAGGACCATTAATGTACTTTAAGGTGTTTTAGGGATCAAATCGAAAATCGAGGCATAACAGAGGACCAATGATGTAATTTACGCTTTAAAAAATACCAACTATACTTGAATATTTCTAAATCTGATTTCCAAGTTTATATTTAGGGGGTTAGATATCCAGGTTAATAAAAAATTTATATTTAAAACCTTTATTGTATTTATATTCATAAATTGACTTAATTAAAAAGCTATGTTAAAAATAAAACCTTTGTTTAGTTTATCCGATAGCCAAACTGAATAACTCGAAATCAATTAAATCAAACCTTAAAGGTTAGTTAGAAGAATGTTAAAAACCGAATGAACCAAAACCTGAATAGACATCTAGTAATAATCATATTAAAGAAATCCATGCATCAACAATTGATCAATTCTTTTTTCTTTCTCAAGTTCTTATGTTGCTTCAGATATGGGATGTGCTAACCAACATTGAGGTGGTAAGACTTGTTGCATCGGTGCGAAGAAGAACCATGGCGGCTCGAATACTGGTTGCTCGAGCGGTTGAAACATGGAGGTACAAATACCCTGTGGCCAAAACCGATGATTGTACAGTTGTTATCTTGTATTTCAAGAAACCACCATTATTTACAATATCTGACTTGGAAAAGAGACAATCCAGTTTGAAGAACCCAGAGCTCGAAAACATGATCATGCCGAGTACAACCGATGATGATGGCCTTGACACTGTACTAAATTGTGATGTTAAAGAAGAAGAAAACCATGAGTAGGGTTTACAAGAAAAAAGATGATGATTGATAAGACAAAATGCACCTAAAATTTGTTATGATCTTATTCTATGTCAAGACAAACATTTTTTTATGTATATAATACTTATATACGGCAAATGAAACTCACCCACAAACCTTAATGACCTCTATAAAGGTTGTGTGACAGATACTAGACAAATGTTCATGAGGCTTGTCTTGAAATTAACACTACCTAAAAAAATCGCGTCTTTTATAGGATGTATGAAGTATTAAAGTTTCTTAATAGAGTGCCTTATAGGACTTAAGTTTATAAAACCTAAAAATAAAGCGTACTATCTAAAAGTGTTGCAATAAGTTTATATGGCACTTTTGAGCGTCGCAACAAGCTTTTTATGACCCTTTTTAAAATAAAATGTCATATTAGCTATATTTTACAAGACACTTTTATGAAGCGTCCCATATACACCCATCTATTTATAGGACCCTTGTGTTTATAAGACGCTTTTTCAAATAGTATATATAAAATAGCTAATATAACATTTTATTTTAAAAAAGAACCTAAAAACTTGTTACGACACTCAAAAACGTCCTATCAACTTATTATAAAACGCTTTATTTTTTGGTCCTATAGGCACTCTATTAGGATACTTAAACAATTTAGGCGTCCTACAAACTCAATTTTGTAGTAGTGTAAATCCTATAAAGCAGTCTATTAAGATATTTTTGACACGCAATTTTGTTGTGCGGAAGGTTTTAAAAGTATATATACAAGATCAGATTTACACACAGCATCATTTAGCATTCTGCTAGTTTGTATGTGTGTCGTAAGGTTCCCATCTAAAATCAACATCATATAGTACATGCACCTATCTAATCTACAGACTTGGGATGCATATGTATCAATCAAAGAATCATACATCTAAAGAAGACCATTTCACTATATATATTCAAGTCATATATGCGTACTAACCAATGTAAGATGGCACTTGGTTCCTTCTTCATAAGGCAATAGCCGAGAAAAAGCATCTCTGCCCAACAGCCTTCGTGTCCGTAATTTCCCACCCTTGGCCTTCCTTGTAGCATTCAACCTGTTTCAACTTACAACCCTCAATACACAATATACAACTCTCGATGCACAACGTTCGTGCATTACATACAGAAGTCACTAAGAGCATCTCCAATAGATTGATTCTCTAAAATGGAGACTTCAGAGTTTCTAGGTTATGTTTTTGCTCCAACAGATTTTTCAAAAGTTTCTCTAAAATAGAGAAAGCAGGAGAGAGAGATGAAAATCTCCAAATTTAGGGCCGTTTACCAAACGCTTATTAGGTGTCACTTAACTTACTGAGTATCTTACCCGGTAAAAGGCATATACGGACCGCGAATCTTACTCTGGTGAGTGAGGGAAAAGGCTCTTAAGGCTCTTACCTGATGCGCTTACCGGACAAAAGACACTTACCAACAATCAATTTTGATGGCCAAGAATGTTAGCCAATAAGGTAAGTGAGAGTCGTGATTCTTGCTGGTAAGCGCTTACCAATAAGCATTTGGTAAACGGCCCCCAAAATTTATTTGAATGCACACGATAGAGAAATGTTTTTTATTGTTTCCACCAACGAAGTGGAATGTATCATAATTTTATATAAAATTTATTTGAAAGTTCATTAGGGCATTAAATATATTGCATATTTCAATAATAATGTTGAAATCTCCAAAATGAAGAAATTGTTGGAGCTGAATGTAAATTTTTTGGAGATTTTAACTTTTTTTTGGCATATGGAGATTTTAAATTTTATTTCTCCAGTTTAGAGAAATTATGAAAATCTGTCATAGATGCTTTAAAGCATTATACCACTTACAGTGTCATTGATTTCTTCACCAGTTTTAAGCCCACCAAAGATGTAGATAGATTCTTTCACAACTGCCGCAGCCGAAAATCCCCGGGGGTAGTTCATTGGCTCTCCAATCACCCATGACCCTTGTCTAGGATCATAGATTTCTACGGTTGCAAGCATTGAATTACCATCAAAACCTCCTAAAACATATCTGAAAACCAATGAGATTGAATGTCAACACCAAACTTGGAACACGGACCAAACACCATTACCAAGAAATACGTATTTGATACAAAAGGGTCATTGGCCCAGCAGTATCCAGTTTATTGGTAGAGAACAGCTTCCCAATATGTCAAGAGTTCAAACCTCACTATGTGTGTGAATATTTGTCATACATAGATATTATATAAGCTTCAAAAGAAATCCAAATTTGATTTTGGTTTTAACAAAATAGATGTGAATGTCTTACAATTTTTCATTCAGAGGTACCAAACAAGGGCAACCCCTCATTGTGTTCATGCTCTTGATTCTTGTCCAAGAATGTTCCCTCGGATCAAATCTTTCAGCAGACCTGAGATAATTAAAGAATCTATGTGATGTTGCATCCGAAAGATGATAATGAAATTCAATCAAATAAAAAACTCGAATAGTATTATGGGTTCATCTAAAAAGTGTCTCATAAACACAAATAGCCTTAGGAAAGCAGCATAGATATCATAAACACGATGTTTTCACAAAAAAAGATTTTAGGACAAAAAGAAAAAACCTACAATAACTGATCATACTTCAGACAACAAATAAGAAGTGAAGAAAAATTTACTTCGAGTAGCTTTTTCCATCATAGCCACCAACAGCATAAAGCGCCCCATTGAGCTCTGCTGCAGCCAAAGAAAAGCGCTGGAAGAGAACCATTTAGACAATTGGCAAATAACAAAGCTTAAAACACATTCATTTGTTAATGCTACCTAAAAAAACCCCGAAATTACTTCAAATCTCAATTGATGAGCCTGGAAAGTACATCCTTTAAAGAGAGGTATTTATATTCCTCAAAAGTTAGTAATAAATAGTGTAGCATTTCTCTCTATTAAAACCAAATAAATTTAAACAAGTAAAAAAAGGACAAGTTCAGCAATTGACTAACATTGATCTTTCGAAAGAAAAGGATGTGATAGTTCCTTGTCCCAAAACAATGCAACACTTCATAATTTTTGTTGTGACAAAAATTGCAACATTTCCTTTCCAAGAAAGATGCCTTGACAAGTTTTCCAATTTACCCATTAGCAATAATTTCAAGATACTAGTGATACGCACTAATTATTTAGCGTTAAACAACTCTTTTCTTCTCATTTAGATAGAATTTTTTCCATTTAAATCCCAACCTTGAGTCATTTTACTCCATTATTTTCTATTTCTTTGCTTTTGGAGCTAGAGATGATGATATACCTGTTTTTACTCTTTAAAGTAGGCTAATATGGACTTTTGGACACGATTGGTGTAGCAGATCTCAGCATTTCTATAGCAGCAAGTTGATAGAAGGAACCGAATGGCTAAGAAGAGGAATGGCTTTTGGACAAACTTGGTGGCTCATGGAAGACATTTTGGAAGAATTCTGAATTAAATTCAAAGCTGGAAATTAGTTGTCGGTATTATCTAATTAGTTGTCTAAGTAGTACATTTAAGTCTTCCTACTTTTGACTATTATGTACTTGAGAAAACTTTGGCTACAAGTTACTTGTTAATTACTCTTTTGTCCTCCCTCCTAGTTTAGTATAAATAGGGGGTTTGGGTTAATCTTAAGGAAAGCAATTCCAAGCCATTTCAGTTAAAAGAACTGAATTTCTCCCCTCTAAACCTTTGCTTAATTGTCTTTTTAATTTCGGTTTTAATATATACTATTGAAAGGTATTATGAAGTTCCATAGCAATTCTGTAGCATTCTAATTTTCCTTTTATTTATTACGCTTTCTGTCTTTATATTCCGTTCTTAAATATAGTCATTTACATTCCATCATTTAATTTCATGTCTTTACTTACTGCAATTTATATTTCTTGCAGTTTTCTTCCCGTCATGAGTAGCTAAATCTCTTAGCTTGGGTGTGAGACGGAAGGGGTGAATTTGTAAATCAAAAGAAAGTAGATCATGTTATGTAACAACAAAGTTTCATTACTTCATTTCAAGTTTCATAAAACCAATGACACTTGTCGACAAGTTGATCACTATAAAGTGTTAAAGTGCCATGGACTCTATGATTGCACGTCAGTTTGAATTATATGGGAAGTAGACTTGAGAGAGTTGTTGACAAATAGATTTGTTATCTATGTTTTCCAAATTGGTTAATTCTCGATAGGTTGATCACTTTGAAGTGTTAAAGTGGAATGGACTCAAAGATGGGCTATTCAGAACACATCAACTTGAATGATATGGGAATCCACTCGAAAGAATGATTTTTAACAAAAAAATTTGTTTATTCGTATATTTTGAAGACACGATTTGTCACTTTCACCGGTCCAGATACCACATAGTATATGGGTTGAAAGCTATAATATCAATGCAATGATGAAGTCCAAGAGGAATACCCTCAAAATAAATGGTGAGAATAATTGTTACTAATTGCATGTTGTAGCATTTTGACAGCATTGCTCTACTGGAATTTGTATTTACATCTCACCCTAAGTCTTACACCCTGGCTTTCTTTTATTATTTGTTAATTTCTTCAAATGATAATTCACACAAATCAAAGTCGTCAAAATCATCATCTGAAACCATTTCCATTTTGTCAAACTTTTACTACAATCCATGTGGATGATACACGGTACTTGTACCATTTTATTACTTGAAAGACGATATTGGGACTAACTGGATACTTGCTTTTGGTCCTGATTACTAAGTATGTGAGTGTGTAAAAAGTTCCTGTCAACTAGTGAGATTGATTGTGGTTCACAAGTTCTTTAAACTTTATTTTTGTTAAGGATTTTAGATAAATGATTATTAGTCAAACACTACTATTAGACTATGTATCAAGTCAAATGTTGCATTCTTTTGGGTTGGAGAGGAAGTATATGATTGATTGCATTCTTGTTATGCTTGCAAATACAATAGAATGTCAAAGATTCATCATAAGCAAGAATAACAGAAGACAAATTCAAATGATGTATAGTAAAACACACACAACTTGCATAGATTTCAACAGGATCCCCAAACATAGAAATGGTAAGCAATTCTAGCAATTTACCAATATTATGAAGTTTTACCAATATAGAGCCTGTCTTTTTTATGACCATTCAGATAACTTTCTGCTGGAGGAATGCATCACAATCTTCAAGACTTACTGTGAATGTAGAGAGTTCTTAATTTTGTTTCGGAAATGGAGATTGCAGTATGAGAACCAGAGTTAAGAGTTAAGTTATCCATGTTAAGTTCTCGGTCAATCTTCTTGTGGTTGTAACATGGTCTTATTCGGCCAGATTCTTTGGTGGTTGATTTAAAATCAAACCAAACCAAACAAAACAAGCCCAGTATATCTCACCTGAAGGTGGGGTCTGGGGGAGGTAAGATGTCCACAGGCGTGACCTCCACCCTAAGTAGAGCGGCTCTTTCCGTAAAGACCTCTCGCTTGTGCAAAGTGTATTAAAAGATTGCGGAAAAAGAAACATAAGAATAACATTTGAAAATGAAGAACTTGAAAACAAGAAAGGTGGTGTTAAAGATTTGAATCTTTTTTGGTGGGTGATTTGTATGTAGCATATCGAACTTGCTTGGAACTTTTTGCACCTTTCTTGCACATAAGTAGTAATTATTTGGATCTTCAGGTATGCTTTAAATTCGGTATCTAACATCATTAAGCAGCCTCCAATGTGACAACTAGTCAATGTTGGAACACATGAAACTTAATCTTGATGTGCTTGCTCTTTCCATGGAACACATGATTTTTAGTAAGAGCAATAGCTGACTTGTTGTCACAGAAAATTGTAGTAGGATCCTTTTGAGTATGCTCTAATTCTTCTAATATTGCTCTTAACCAGAGAGCTTGACATCCTGAAACTGAGAGAGACATACTCGGCCTCAGCAGAAGACAAAGCCACCACACTTTGCTTCTTTGACTGCTAAGACACTGCTCCACTTCCCAAGTTGAACACATATCCAGCTATGATTTTCCCATCATCCATGTTGCCTCCAAAGTCACTATCATTATAACCTGTGAGTTTGAAATTATATGTTCTTGAGTAAACAATGTCATGATCCAAATTCCCTCTAACATACTCGAGAATCCTCTTCCCTGCTTCCCAATGGCTTCTTTTGGGAGACTCTTATGATGCTAACAGAGAATACCATATCTGGTCTGGTGGCAGTTAAATACATCAGACTGCCCATTAAGCTTCTATATAGACTAGCATCCACATTTTCTTCTTTGCCATCTTTGGAAAGTCTAAGTCCAAATTCCATGGGAGTGCTAGTAGAAGTAGCCTGTCCCATGTTGAATTTATTAATCAAGTTTTGAGCATACCTTTGTTGAGAGATCTTAATCCCTTCTTCATTCTGTCTAACCTCAATTCCTAAGAAATAGTGTAGTAGACCCGTATCAGTCATATCAAATTCATTCTTCATGCTTTCTTTGAAGTCTTCTATTAGTTTTTGTGAGTTGCCCATAAAAACCAAATCTACATATATACACACTATGAGAATCATACCTTGAACACGATACCAAGGCAAACCCATGGAAATACCCCTTTATGAGCTATTCTTGGCTTGGACGAATTATCCGAAAAGGATCGTTTAACCAAGCAAGAGTGCGAAAAATACAATCTTCTGAGTAAAGAAAGTGTGTTCCTGTGAACACTTGTTGAATCCATTTGTCAAAAAGTAGTTTTCAATCCTACTGTACCAAGCACGTGGTGCTTGTTTTAAGCCATATAAGGCTTTCTTCAAGTGACACACTTTGAATTCCTCTCCTTTCTTCACATAGCCCTCAGGTTGATCTATGTAGGCATCCTCCTTCAAATAGCCATTAAGAAAGGCTGATTTTACATCCCTTTGATGTACCCTCCATTTGTTTTGTGCAGCCAATGCTAACACCAACCTAACAGTCTGCAATCTAATGACAGGAGCAAAAACCTCCTAATAGTCAATACCATATTTTTGTTTGTACCCCTTTACCACCAATCTTGCCTTATACCTATCCACCTCTCCTCTCTAATTTAATTTTGTTTTGTAAATCCATTTGACCCTTAATGATTTGTGACCACTTGGAAGACACACAAGTTCCCAGGTGTCGTTTTTTTTAATTGCTTCCATTTATTTGTCCATGGTTGCCTTCCATTTTTTTCTTGGCAGGCTTCTTCAAATGTCACCGGATCTGCATCAGAGAACAAAACAAAATCTACAATATCATTAAACTCCAAGCTCCTTGTGTCATTGTAAATGTCCCTTAGGCTTCTATATCCTCTTTTTGGTGGGCTTCAGTAGTAGATACTTGAGTATTTCATGAAGTAGGAGTAGTAGGTGTTGTAGGAGTATTTACTACAGGAGAGGTTGGATCATGATTTTCTGACTCAAAATGCTTTCCTTTTTCTCCTTATCACCTTCTATAATCTGAGTAATGCTTCCTGTTTTGGTGGATCATTCCATCCTTTGTTTTCTTTAAACACTACATCTCTACTTATGATAATCCTTTTGGTTATAGGATTGTAGAGCTTGTAGGCCTTTGATCTGTCACTGTAGCCAACAAATATAGTCTTTTCTGATTTATCATCTAGTTTACTTCTTTTTTGTTCAGGTATGTGAGAATAGGCTATACATCCAAATGTTCTTAAGTGCCACCACAGTAGGTTTATACCCACTCCATGCTTCCTATGGGGTCATATTGAACAAGCCTATTGTAGATGTTCTATTCATCAAGT